ATATATATATATATATATATATATATATATATATATATATATATATATATATATATATTTATGTGTGTGTATTCAGGTTCTTTGGTGTTTGTGGTGCTGCGAGAGGGACTGGAGACAGTGCAGGTTGTGTTTTCTGCTGCAGTGGATAGACAGTTGCTGCGGTTTATAGAATCAATACCAATAGAATCCTTGATAGATGTATATGCTGCTGCTGCTGCTGCTGCTGCTCCACTCATTGGGGTGTCTACGCAGCTCGAGCTGCATGCGCTTAAAGCCTTCTGCGTAGTTAAAGCCCCAAACCAACTCCCCTTCATGATCAGAGATGCTATGCAACCAGACAACGATCAGGATACACCCGTCAGCAACCTGCTGCTGCTGCTGCTGCTGCTGCTGATGCTGCTGATGCTGCTGGTGCTGGTGGTGCTGGTGGTGGTGCTGGTGCTGGTGGTGGTGCTGGTGGTGTTGGTGTTGGTGTTGGTGGTGGTGGTGGTGCTGCTGGTGTTGGTGTTGGTGCTGGTGGTGTTGCTGGTGGTGTTGCTGTTGCTGCTGCTGGTGCTGGTGGTGTTGCTGCATGTGGTGTTGCTGGTGGTGTTGCTGCTTGTAGTGGTGGTGAGGGTGATTATGTTGCTGCTGCTGCTGCTGCTGCTGCTGCTGCTGCTGCAGTTATTTTTGATTCATTCTATTTCTGTATCAACAGCAGCACCGTTCTTTTATTTTTTTTTTTCCTTTTCCTGCTGCTGCTGCATGTCTTGCATTTGCTGCATCCTTTCTCCTCCTCCTCCTGCTGCTGCTGCTGCTGCTGCTGCTGCTGCTGCTGCTGCTGCTGCTGGTGCTGCTGCAGGGTCAGATCCGCGTGCACCTGGATACCCGCCTGGAGCACCGTTGGCTGGATTTGCGTGTGCCGGGTACATACGCGGTTGCATGCGCCGTATCTGAGGTGTCTAGACACCTGCGAGAGTTTTTATTAGAAAATAAATTTATTGAGATACATACACCGAAACTGTTGGGGGGGGCGTCAGAGGGGGGGGCCTATTGCTTCACTCTCTCTTATTTTAATCAGCCCGCTTGTCTAGCACAAAGCCCACAACTTTATAAACAAATGTGCATCGCTGGAGATATGAAAAAAGTTTTCGAGATTGGTAATCGCGAGGGTTTATGAGGGTTTAGGGTTTAGGGGCTAGGGTTTAGGGTTTAGGGGCGAGGGTTTAGGGGTTAGGGGGTAGGGTTTAGGGTTTTTTGTTGCTGCATTATTTGCTGCTGTTCCTGCTGCTGGTGCTGCTGCACTGTTTGCTGCTGCTGCTGCTGCTGCTGCTGCTGCATGATTTGCTGCCGTTCCTGCTGCTGGTGCTGCATGATTTGCTGCTGCTGCTGCTGCTGCATGCTTTGCTGTTGCTGCTGCTGCTGCTGTTGCTGCTGCAGGCCCAGTATTTCGCGCGGAGAACAGCAACACGCATCGTCATTTATGTGAATTTGTTGGCGTTGATTTAGAAATGGAAATAAAAGAAGATTATATTGAAGCCGTTGATTTAATTGATAATTTATTTAAATATTTATTTAAACAAATGCAACAAACATTCGCTCAGGTATCCGCGC